GGCAGGGAGGCTGGGCCAGGCTGTTGTTTGGGACAGGCTGTTTGTGGCCGCAGCCGGGCAGGATTCTGTTTACCGGAGCTGGAGGTTGGCAGTGAGCCACCAGAGCCCTGGCAGGAGACGCGTCTGCTTGGAGGAACGTCAGTTAGGAAAAGGCTCCCTCCCGGCATAGTTTTTGGTTAAAACAGCAAAGAGGAAAAAGAGTTGGCACCCAGGATGAGTTAGCCTTGTGTTGAGATGTTTGACTAAAACGTAGAAGACCCAATAAAAGTCCCTCTGCAAATCATTTTCCAGGGATCTTTTTCCAAATCTTTCCCCGCCCCCTCCTGTAAAAGACGTGCATAGATTTGGCAACTGAAACTTCAAGAATTGAAAGTCTCGTAACTATCCATAATTTTCAATTGTTTTTACAGATAAGTGATCTCACGCAGTTTCTCCAGGACTGCTTCCACTGTAGAATTTCATCGGCTCCCTTTGAGTTGGCATTTCAAATCTATTCATGAGACATTAGCAAAAATGAATACTAAAATAAGTTATTTGCTAAATACTGTTAGGTGCATGCATAGGTGCAATTCTGTGCTCACTCCCAAATCTTCCGCCACAACAAGAAAACACATTTTATGGATTGGCAGATACAGGGATCCCCTGGAAAATGTGAACTTCAGGAAATTATTTTTAGATATTTGTCCTTCTCTGCATGGATCATCTCTTCGATTTCTATCTCAAAAGACAGATGTTTTTAGTACAGGTGCTAAAATACAACCAGAGAAGAGTACAGAGGCTTTGGTGAGTGAGCAGGCTCCCCAGAATTCCTTGGAACTTGAAAAGTTGGATGATTCTGGGAGCTTCAAAGTGAAGCATGTAATGGATCATAGTGAACCATTCTTTAATAGTCTCCAGAAATGTACCTGTCCTTGCGACGTACTGGACTTGGCTTCAGAGTCCGCTGTTTCCATTAAGCACTTCACAAACTGTTTGACTACAGTATGGAGGCTCTTCAAAAACCTGTCCGAAGACCAGCAGCGTTACGAGAAGCAGCTGATCTTTGAGCACCCAGCTTTTGTTAAGCTGTGTCAGCAGCTGCTGCGGGACTCCAGAAGGATGACGCGGGGTGACCTGGTGTTCAGTCTGCATGCCGTGGTGAACCTAGGTGTTCCTCAGAACACTCTCCTAGTCCAGACTTTGGTGAGAGTGTGCCAAGTAAGTATCAAAATCCCTCTTCTCCTAAGTTTGGGCTGAAACCTCGGGGCTAATTCTGGGAGGCTGTGCAACATCAGAGAGAGTTGGGTTACATCCCTGGTTTAGTCTGATGTTCCATGGAAACAGGGCTCCCAGAGTTAATTTGTGTGTACTTCTAATTGCCTTCACTTTTGAAATGACCGCCTGATTTCAGACAGATGTGACAGAGAGGAGAAGTCTCAAAAACCATTACCCTTTTCAAATCGATTAAATTTGTCTGATGTGAGACCGTGTAGGTCACTGCAGAATTAAAACTTATGAAATGACTTCTGGGGGAAAGAGAAGATGGCAGGTACAGATTAAGAGTGGTCAGTTTTTCTTTTCTGAAACTTACTGGTCTGAAGTAATCTGACGTCGTGAAAACTCTTTAACAGGAGAAGCTCAATCAACTTGATAACCGATGTATCTCAGTTTTGGCAACTACTTTAGGAGGGCTGGATAAAGACAAGAATGTGAGCGCTCTTCAAGCTGGATTACAGTGAGAAAAATATATCTTTCACATGTTCTTCATATTTAAATGTTGTTTGAACATATGTCTTTTGGAATCATGGAGGGAATGTCTGCGCATAAAAGACACTGGTTTTATGACTTAAATTATCACATGAGATAACAGCTGTACAAGGCAGTGATTCTTGGCATTGTCTTTGCAGTTTCAAGCAGAAAGGCTTCTGATGGCATAGTGTGCTAGACTGCTCTGCAGGGGATTCATATTCTGACTGCAGCTCCACCGCTGTGTTTTTTTTTGTGATGTTGATCAACTCATTTCGCATATCTATGCCTCTTTTACCCATGTGTAGAAAGGAGGTAATGAGACTAGCTTACTTTGTGAAGTATTTTGGTTTGTCATGATGAAAAACACTGTTTTAACAGCCAAGGGATATTTTTTTTTAATTTAATAAGTAAAAATGAAGATGAAGACAAGTTTAGACTTTATCTGTGCATCCAGCAGGGCCTTCTGTGTAGTGCTTTATCAGGATAACTTCTTTGGCTGTAGTGATTTTTTTCAGGGCCAATGAGATTTATGTGGGTAACGAATTTGCTTACTCCCATGAGATTGTTTTTACTGAGGCTGTCACAAAACTTGCCATGGATTAGTACTTTTGGTCCTGTGTCAGGTCCTGCTTTGAGAAGGTGGATGTGTTACTGTTGTGCAAAAGACAGCTTCTCCTGGAAGCTCAGGTACACAGTTCTTGTAAGTTGGTAGAAAGCAGGATATCCATCTATAGCTCTTTCTCTGTCTTGAAGTCTGAAGCTCTTGCCCATTTGCAGGAAGCCACGTCTGCAGAGATGAATTTCAGAGCAGTGCACTGCCTTAGAAAGTGACACCTCATATTTTTGTAGCTGTGCAGGTATATTTAAGGGTGATTCAGACATAACAATTACAATACCTCCCTCTGAGCCAGAAAAGGAGGTGCTGGGAATGCAGAACTCCTTCATCTTGTCCTTACGATCCCTCTGTGTTACGATATCCCCTTCTGTTTCCGCAGCCACAGCACTGCTTGTCTGGTTTTTTAACTCACTTGCATGAAGTTGTTGTCAGTGTCCATCCCCGAGTTTCCCAGCTGTTTCAGAACTTGCCTGCACATAGATGATTCTATGATAAAAAATGTGCAATTTGTTTTTTTTTTCTGGAGAAGATTGTTAATTCCTTGAGGCACTCATGTCTGCACAGTCACATGTGCAGTCTGGTCGGGTGCCCCTGCTGTTAATGTATCAGTAACAACACTCATCTATCAGGATAACATTAAGAAAGCATATATAATTATTTCCATGTGCAAAATATCTGTGCTGCAGCTACATCATGTAGAGTTACGCCAGCCTTGCAAAAAAGGAGGTGGGAGAGGAGGAGGGAATTACAGCTTTAACTTGGGACTACATCAGTGAGGGAGAATGGGGGCACCTACCTGTTTCTGCTGAAATGAGGAAAGCTCTGTTAAACAGTTAAAAGCTAGCTCAAGGCCTTGTGTGTGTTTCTTCATCAGATTACTAGTGGAGCAGCGCATTCCAAGTATCAGAGACATCTTTATACTGCAAAACCTGATGAAATGCATGGGAAAAGATGCTCCAGTCTTTCTGAAAAAGAAATTAGAGGTAAATTTAGTTGGAGGCTCATTTTTACTTCCACAAAGCCTGTGCTCTTGCATTGTTTATAGATTGTGTATGGTTCTTTCCAGACACTCAAAGAGAAAATATAATAGAAAGGTTAACTGCATTTGCTATATGAATCATAGTCCAGCTATATCTGCAGGAAGAACTTAAATTTGGAGGCTGGGAATATCCCACCATGAAAAGGGGCAGAAGGCAATGGCGATGGTACAAAAGGAATTGAGGCAGTAAAATAGCAGCGTCCTCACCTCTTGTTTGGGCTGGCCACATGGTATTTCATTGAAGCACTTACAGGCTGTTCCCTGATTCCCTTGCCTAGCTTGTGGCTGGAAGACAAGAAGACGGAAAACTAGTCTGTGATGGGGCTGTGTCCAATAATGGTACGGGGCTAGAGGACCAATGGCAGTGAGATGCCAGGAGAACTCACCTGGCTCATGGCCTTATCTTTCTGTGTATCTGAAAGGTCCCCTGGGAAATACAGTGGTTGGGAGCAGGCTGTAGGTTTTATGGCAGGGTGTACTGGGTTTCGTCCCGATTTAAAGACGTTTTTTGAAACGTTCTTTCAAATAAGGGCTGCTAGTGTTTTCGTCACATAGCTGAAGGGCTCTGAGGTCAGAATTTGTAATAGCATTCATGAGGAAGTGAGGAAAGATACCACTGATGGGAAACTGGGCAAGAATAGAGCAGTGCAGGGAGCTCATGCAATGTGTTAGATGTAAGTAAATCGTAAAACCTTGCACAAGGTACCACTTTTTACAAGATGGTGAGAAACTGGCTGAAGATGTGGTGGAATATGGAACTGAGAGGAAAGTAACATTTCCACTTGTTAACTGAAGGGAGCTCTTAATTTTCTGAGCTTACAGGGTGCTATTTTAATACTGTGTAATTTCTGTTGTAGACGCATTTTGTATTTAACCTTTGATATGAATGCAGTAAGAATACTGTACTTTAATAGCCAATATACTTTGTAGCTTCAGTCCACACTTGTAGCTGGGTGTTTGTATTAAAGATACGCCACTTGGTGTGCTGTTGGATCACTTTGAAGGCTTACAGCTTTCACGTGCATCCAAAACAGTAATTGGAGTACTATTAAATAAGTCAACTGTGCCAATTATATTTCTGCTACTTTTTTAAGAGTTAGTAGAAGACATATTCACAGTATTTGGAAATTAGCTTTACTGAGACTTCTTTCTTTTAAAACGAACATATAAAGGCAAATTGCTGCGAACTTGCATAGTGACACGGCTCTAGAACACTTGGTCTGCTATAACTGTGTATTAAGAAACTGAGAGTAGTTACTTTATGCTTTTGCTGTTTGTTGCTCCTTTTTCTTTCATATAAGTCTGTGAACAGGCTAAGGAATTTGGGAAAGTTTTGGTGAAAATGCCTTCACCAGAAAGCAGTGATAATATGCCTGAAGAATGAAGGATTTAATAAACTCTAATTCACTTTAGATGGCAGTTTTGAAAGAGATAGACCATCTGACTTTCCCGAATGCTCTGCGTGTGTTTTTGGCTCTTGCTGCAATGAATTATTGTTCCATTCCAATCCTGAATGCCTGCAGTAAAAAGATCCAGGGTAAGAAAAAAATACGTTTATTAAATTTCCCTTCCTTATACCAAATTCTTCCTAATTATTGTCTCGTCTCCCTTTTCTGATTTCCTTTAAAACTCGGGAAACATCTTTGTTTTACAGGATATTATAGTAATGTGGAGCCATTTGACAAGCAGCAAGACAGCAAATTACTGATTGATAATGAAAGCAAATAGCTCTTGTAGTCTCTGCCCTTCTTAACATTTACCTGCATTACATATTTTTCTTTGCT